GCTACAGCCAAAAATAGGATTTTTATCAGCCAGAGTAAACCAAACTTATTCTTATCAGCTTGCATACAGTACTATCTTTATCAGATAGCAAATACAGTATACTGAACTAGAGTTGAATATCGTAGTTCTGATTCGAATGAAATGGACTGCACCATGTTATATTCAAACATCAATATTCACTTAATTCCAGATGAGTTCCGAGGAAGCCAACAAAGAAGACGCCAAAGTTCAAGACGTAAGTTTTTACTCCCATTTTTCTCTGCACATAAGATAAGAGGAGAAACGATACGAACTCACAAAAATTTTAGAGCGCTGCTTATATCAAAATTAAAGTTGGATCGTGCATATGCGGTACAGGGAGCATTTGCGACAAAAGCAAATGCATGGTTTTTTGCATGTTTTTTTCTTTCGTTCTGAATGTTCCAAGCATTTTTACGCGCAAGCTTCGCAAGACCCCTACATAATGTTACTCTTTCGGTTTTGCATAGACAGTAGCATGGCAGAAATGTAAAAAAGCCAGAAATTGTAGATAACATAGGTGGAGTTAGGTAATTATAATTATGTATGTTTTCAGGCTAAGATCATAGCTAAAAATGCAATGGAAGCTGCCAAAAGATCGAATCCAACCACGAACGTAAGTTCTTTTTCGGATTAATAGTGATTCAAAAACGTCATCTGTCAGATAAATTGAGCTTGTTTCTTGTAGGTAGTCGAACCGCAGAGCGAAGTTCGTGAGGATGCAATCCGTGAAGAAGCGATCAACGAAGTGCAAAACACTGATAATCTAACACAAGAACAGGTTAGCTCTTACTTTGCTGGTATTGGCAAAATTTACAGTTTTTTGCAGAAACGAGAGGCCGCAAAGATTCACTCACAAAAGCTGAAGGATGCCGCTCAAGCCGCAAGAGTTGTTAAGTAAAGGGTAGTTCATAGTATTTGTATTCATTCTCGACCAGAGAACCGTTTGTGATTGCTCCAAGATGTATCGTTTTGTATGTACATAAATTTTCACATGCTTGTGTTTTCCTCACTTAGATAAGTAGCATGTATAAGTCTTGAGAAGATAGAGGAAGTGTTCTGAAGATGGGTAAAAACACGTTCCAAGAAAATCAATAAACAAACTGACAACTGCCTTTGAATTGACCTAAATAGTTCAAAATGTCACAGAAGATATATATTATATACCAATTTCTGATCCTGTACGGGTCGCGAATCTCAAACTGAAACGGCTCTACAGAGAGAGTTTGGGCGACTAGTATATACTGTGATATTTAGGTAGGAAAAGAAAACCTCTATGGCAAGGCAAATGCACTTCTTCGTCACAATATGGTAGGAAATTATCTCCGGAATCCCATTTTTGGATCTGATTGCTAGCAAATCGTGCTTGGATCACACTATTCACTGTTGAAAAAAGCTTTGTGTTATACCGCTAATTATCTAGCATTTAATTTCTTATCGACTTCGTCCGATCAATTTAAGTCCACCTCCCCCTCATACGTAACACTGTATGTAGGTACTACCTGGGCAAGTTGTTGCAGAATGTACATCTATGTTTACAGTTTTCCTAGGAGTTTTGGGATCGTCGGTTGGATGGGTTGGTCAGTATACCTGTCACTCGAAATAATTTGCTTTCACTGAACATGGATCGTGTTGCTGGCAATGCAAAGATGGATCTCCATGTAGTGTTTAGTTTGAACTTGGTATAAGAAATTTCACAATTTCTGATGTGGCTCAGGCGAGCTGTCTTCAAATCTGTTTTTTAGATAGACTCAATGCTAAGGCAGAATGAGCTGTTTGTTTTATTAGTGCTCCGTGTATGGGTAATCGAATCACTGTATGGGTAACACCTGTTGCAGTTTTCTCTTCGAAACCTTAGCTGTATTAAATTAGAACGAATGAAGAGAAACCGAGAAAGATAGGCGAACTCGTTTCTCGTTCCATGTCACTCCCATGCTCGGACTTAGTTAACCCTCTTTAATACTGTGATAAGGTTGCAGCCACCCCCCGTTTCATATTTATCTTGTTGACGAACTTGGGGTATACCGTTTCGTCACTTTGTACAGCAAACCACCTGTCACATCAGGGAAACAAACATATTTTCGATCATAGTGTTGTGTGTACAGACAAAACCTTCAATTCATTTATGGGCATTTACAATATACAAGCAAAAGCAAAAGCAGAGTTGACTATTGAATTCAATAACACGGACTGTTCCACTACATGTATATCAGTGGCGGATCCGG